AAGTTAAATTTAAGAAGTACGTATAAAACAACTACTTACATGTTTAAAAAATGGATATGGTATTTCATTTAATCTTTACACAAAGATCAAATATACAACATTCAAACTTTGAAATAATTCTAAAAATACGAAAGCCTTGACCTTTTCAACTTATATTTTCAGTGATTCAGAAAACAGGACTGGTTTAAGTAAGTTAGGTATAATGAAACCTGAAAATAGAAGCAGTTGCGAGCTTCAGAGAGTCGCGTGAAAGGTGAAACCAATTCCACGATAAGTACCTGTCGTATACTGTCAATACCAGACTTCGTGATCGGTCATCAAGTGGAAACTATTTACCTAGTGGCCATATTAATTGTTTATTAAGTGGTATTGGACTATTATTTATTCATATTTACATACTTCATTGTACACCACTAAAACATGTAGGACTAACTGTAAATATAATGTGTACAAATGTACAATGGGCATTATGGACAATCTTATCGACCTTTCATAGACAAACCCAATGATGTACTTTAAATTTACAGTCAAAGGTCAACTGCCACCGTGAGTGATGTTCACATGGCAATGCGTAAGTAATTTCATATTAATGTGCATAAAAACGCGTGAGTACCCATATGCACACGCACGCGTACGCACACGGATAAAAATATGTGTGTGCATGTGTGTATAAGCGCTTTAGCGCAACCGATAGTAATCTTACAGTGGCAGTGGACTTTTGACTTTTGACCGTACATAGAAAGCATACGAATTTACTAAAAAAACAACAAAGTAATCAAAATCAAGATTAACATCTCAAAATATAACATAAATGTCAAACAAGCTTATAAATAGATTCCAAAGACACGAAGAATTCCTTCGAGTGAATCAAAACACTTCATATGTGAAAAACGTCTTTTGCAGTTACCAAGAATTCAATGGAGCGCAAAAGATTGTCATATATCAAGCGTAGGGACGTGAGCCGATAGGATCCAACCTTCTCCTGTCTAAGTGAAAATGAGGATAAATCTCGGACCTTTTTCATAAAACCTTCATGATATGAGGATGAGTTGAAAGATCGGGTTTTGGTCACGGATTTACTTTTGATTGCCATTTTACGACCACGTGTTACCCGAGGTATAAAAACGTCTAACGTATTGGTAACCTTCAAATTCAGGCTTCTAAGAATGAGGATGTATTCGAAACTTGCCTTGAATAAGCGTAATCAATGATCATTTTCATTGGAAAGTATAGAAGGACGACATTGTATAGAAATGGGAAAGTAACAAGCTGACATAATTTATATACTGTTTGAATTACTATGAAGGCTATGGTTATGTACGATAGACGTGCTGCAAGCCAGCAAAATATGAATGTTTAATATGCCACAGTTCCAGAATATAATATCGGATTCGGTCTCGGTAGCTCAGCAAGCCGAAGTGAATTTAGTGGTCCATTCTATTTTCTGCCAGTCTCAATCCGGAATAACTTTAACTTTTTATTTCAAGCATTTTATGATTCCTCACTGATTTAAGTTTAGTGAGTCACTGAATTCTTAAACTTTTATAATGAAAAATATTTTTAACGATGACACTGCGATGTAGCCAAGTTACCTAAAAGATTCTATTATAAAGGAATTTAAATCACTGCTGTTCAAATAACTCTATAAAAGAAAATCAAAGCAGCTGCATGACCTGAAAATATAATGTACACGAGCAGACTATGTTAGGTAATATCCAATTCCTACTTTTAAACTCGGTGCACTAGTTTCGGAAAACTGTTGAAAAGAGCCAGTTTAACTTTGTGAAGACGTGAAAATTTAAAAGAGACAGATTCATCTCAACTTTGGCAAGGCAAATGAAGTCCCATTCATCACTGAAAAGTTAATGTAGCTGGATGAATGTTAAAGTATTATAAGTTACCTGCTAGAATAGTATGGGTGGTCATTAGTGGGTCATCAAGACAGAAACTGGCTTGGAAGATGGTTAACCTGCTTGCAACATTCAGACCAGTATATTAAGCTATCCCTATATACTAATAGAAACATGTAGAAATGACTGTGAGAAATACTGATACGTCAAAAAGCAATTTAATTTGCACAAAGATGACACCGTTTACAAATAATCCACGTCCGCAGTTCATAAGCAATCGAGTCAAGATCAAGGATCCACTCCATTATTAAGTAACTGAATCCCAAAGTTGAAAATTTCAATACCCTTTGTAGTTGCAAAAGGGACGGCGCAAGCAATGAATATGAAAACGCGTTGGATCGTTAAAGAGCATCGCGCCCAGATTGTATTTTTGTCGTAAATTTTAAATGTAATATTCTGAAACGAACAGGCCAGATGATTGCCCTTTTTTAATTTCTCAAACACTCTTTTTCCTGTTTCGGGTTCCCGTTAAAGGGCACGATTGTGTACCCAAATAAAGTCATGATCCGTGGCTCATTGACGCGGGTCTTATAGGCGCAGAATTGTACGAGGATTCCAAACTCAATTTCGCAAAGGTCAAACAAAACATGACAGGAATTTAGTATTGTTTGTTATTCTACGATTCCTTTGTTTCAAGTTTGCCGTGGAAGTTTTACCAGATTGCCGCATTTCCCTTGGGGGTTTGCACGCGTACATGCAGCACATATGTTGTACTCAACATGAGCTGGAGTTTCCGTAAAATGCAAGCGAAGAATTGAATACGAAATGTATTCAAATTTTTGCAAAATTTCCTAAGCTTCCAGTAAAATATGGAGGAAACTGGTGTTACACCGGCTGCCGCGGTTGTGTGTGAGAGCTGCGAAGTTAGGCTATGCATAAATATCTTCCACTATATCCAGTTTGCCATTTTCGAACTATCCGATTTCCATTTAAGAAATTGACGCGTTTTGTTCTTATTTCAGGAAGTTCTTATTTCCACTTCATAAACAGCAGCCTCTACGTTAAAAATAGCCTTTGAAAACATCAATCCAGAGTTTTCAAAGTGGCTTCGTGACGTACCTGTGGTGGAAGATAGCTGAATAAGGAGACCGAGGCATTGTCACCGCTGCCGACAGCCGACGGCCTAACAAAGAGAGGCGCTTGTATCAAAATTGACATACTTTCAACAAAAGCTCGGCTGTCGGCCCGTCGACTCGGAATACTCTGAATTGAGATATGCCAGCTTGTTGTGAATATTCACTATGCAAATAATAAGTTTATTGAATTTTACACCTGACCTGACCTGGATAATTGTATGGACGGTGCTTATGATTTGCGGTCGATTCTTTCATTTTAACGGTAAATTGTTGTACCGTTTACTTGATGTAAGTGGTTAAAACTGCTTAGTCATATGCGAGTGTAACAAGTAATTTATTTATTTATTATAATACATATAACGTATCTTTTAATCTTTCCTTGTCGAAATTTATTTTGCTGTAATATTCCTTCGAAAAAGTATAAATTGACTTTTAACAATTAGCGGCAAAAATATATATAATAGTGTAAGTATATAAATTAGCACTATCCGCAACATAAATCGGAAGTTGGACAAAAAGTGTTGAAGTTTTTGTGTCCACAACCCGTGTTTCGTTATCCTCGACATGTCAAGTAGAAATGTCAAGGTCACGAGTGTCTGAAGGCGATGTTGTTGGCACATGTCCGACACGCTATCTCTTTGATTTATTCCCATACACGTTACTTATGGCTCGCTCCAATAGTTAGTTGCTACTGTTGGTAGCCACTCCAGATACAGTACTTCTCTAATAAATCAAAGAAAAAGGTATTGATTATACCTATAATAATTCAAACCTAGTGAGGTCTCTGATTTTAAATTAAGATTTTTATCTGTACTATGACCAATTTCTTATAATGAATAAAGATTTATTTATTTTTTTTATTTTTAATGATAATAATGAATGATCAATCAGCAATTTGGTCTAGTGGTCTTAAACATGATGACCAAGGAATGTTTTAATTTTGCAAATTATTATTGAGTTGTCTTTCAGAAATTATTTTAGAATTTTTAAATATGGACCCCTAGTTCTATAAATACTTTTAGGTACATACAAGGACAGATTCACGCATCGAAAATAACATTACTAAACTTACGTTTAACGTAACTTACCCCATCATTTATATTTCATTTAATTCATTAACCAAAACACTCATATTTTTAGAAGTTCTGGTAGTTACTTGGCTTTACTGCTTCAAATAACAGAGCGGACATTTAAGGTTTTACGTCACCGAAGCCAATTTCCTTAATGTTCTGCAGTGGATACGACTACCGAACCGACTAGCCGAAATGTTAATTTCCTCTTGAACAGAACTTTCCTAATAGAATTCTTGAATCTGGCAAGTTTAATGAGTTAAACTATTACGTGGAAAGAGATTAGTATAATTCTTTCTTCGTTCCCATAATAGCTGACGATCAAAATGTTTAGCTATAATGTCGTGGTGGCCCGGTCGTTAGTATAATGTCGTGGTGGCCCGGTGGTTTAAGACGCCCACTTCTCATGCATGAGGGTGCGGGTTCGAAAGCTACCAACGGCAAGTACCAATGTGACTTTTTCCGAGTTATATGTACTTTCTAAGATTATTTAGACACCACTGACAACCGGTGAAGGAAAACATCGTGAGGAAACCTGGGCTTATAATTTCTAATTATAAGTTTGAAATCGCCAACCCGCATTGAGCAAGCGTGGTGATTAATGTTCTAACCTTCTCCGTGTGAGAAGAGGCTTTGCTCAGCAGTGGGCATTTATAGGCTGTTGATGATGAAAATGTTTAGCTTTAAAATATGTTGCCAAAATATAACTACACAGTTTTAAATTTGTATTTAGGTGCTTAAACGGTTTTAACATCACGCATATTACACCTCACAAAGCATCTCATATTAGGACGTTGTACTTTGCTCACTCGATCAACGAAGCACGTAACCCCTCAGGTATCTTATTGACGGCATAAATATTAATAGTTAGCGGAGGTTTTGCCTTTAACACATATCTACTGACAGTCAAAGAGTTAATTCCATTTAATTCAAAGTGATCATACTTGGAGTAGGTGTGCTGCAGCCTATGTGTGGCCAACCACTGGCGGAGCACGAGCCTCTGCTGCAGGATCTGGGCAGCGCGGCGCAGCCTCTTCTCCTCCGCCGCTGGCAGCTCTGGCAGCCGATCCAGCTGATCCGGAGATCCGCAACCAGACAACGTGGAGATGCCTATAACAAAAAGTCACCGAGGTCTAAAATCCCACTTTTCGTAAAATGGAACAACATTTAAGTCGGTAGCTACCGGTACCAGAGCTACTTAATAACAAAAATACATTATCCAGTGAGCGAATATAATAAACATTAACAAATTCTAACATGTAAATCAGTCTTAATCTGCCCGGATGTGTTGAATAATTCATTTTCAGTAACAATAACCGTGTCACGGCTTAATGACACCCACCGTGGGACTATTAACAGCACCGCTTTATCATATAAAACCTCACATAACGAAGCGGTAATGACACTAACCAGAATCATTTATCATTAATCAAGTAGAGGAACGGCTACATTTGCTAAAGTTCGGTTATCGTTAGAAAAACTGAACACGTAAGCTTAATGGCGCCCACCGTGGGACACCTAAAAACTCCACAAATATTACAATATACTATGAGCCGCCGATTATAATAGCTAATAACATTTTAATGCAAAATCCATGTTTAACAACCATTAATAATGTTAAATTACAGTGAGAAAGACTTTGTTGTGGGTTCGTTGCCTAGCAACGGCGCGCCCTTGACCTTGGAACTAATGGTACGGCGTTACGACAAGAAAGTTGCTGGTTATTACGTCAAAAGTATATTTGTGCTGTTATATTGTAATACACACTATACACACGAATATATCAGACGGTATAATAACTATGTAGCTTAGTGTTATAAGCGCGTGTCTGATTTGTGTTATAGACAAGTAATTGTCGGTTACATAACAGCTAATCTTCTATTAACGCTCTAACTTACAATCGATGAAAGTATCACTTTTCTTAGTATTAGAAACAAGTACTAAGGCCTTTGCTTTATTCATCCCTCTCCATTACACAGACTACCGCAGTCCCGTAATTTTCATATTAACACGTTAGAGGGTAAATGGCCAACTATTTAGCTAACTGTTGCTATTCCAAAATGGATCTTGAACAGTAACTCCCCGAGGCATTATTGATATTGTATTGATATAGTGGTTAAGTAATAGAGCCAAAATGTTACGAACCGACCTCAAGATTTGAAGTGGTTAAGAGAAACTAACGTTTTCTTTGCAAACCATTTTATTATTGGTAAAACAAGATATAACACACGCAATATCTTCAAAAGTGTTCTATATGTATGAGTTTATTCTAATTAATTTTGATGAAAAGAAAAATAATATTGAAACAGTAACGACCATGACCTTCAAATAAGTCACGCTACCCATGGAAGAAGACAAACACGCCATGGTATTACGTAACATCATGACAGAAAGGGTAATAGACATTAATATTTCCAAGTCAAAAATAACAAAAGAAAAGAGACAGTTTTAGGCCAGTAGGTACTATTTAAAACTAATTACCAAAACATTTTAAGTTAAACACAAAGTAATTAGCTTTAATGCCGGAGCACCGCACCACGCTCAACTGAAGCCTTTAACCTTAAGCAGTATAACACAAAACTTTGTCAACGAAACCCAACTCTTCTACAGCCATAAATTATATTTCACACAAAGAACAAACACCAAAGAATCCATTCAGAAAACTGATAAAACGGCGTGGAAAACTTGAAAATGCCAGCTTACATGAGACACGCGAGGTTTTAATCTAAGTTGTAAAGCGGTCTAACCCAGATAGTATCTTTAGATTAAACACGAAAGCGGTGAACACGGCACGATGCCACGATGGTGCTGTTACACGATAACAACTATAACAACTATTGTAAGTTGCTTCTTATATTGATTTAGTACTTTTGCAACACAGTTTCAAAAGTGAAGAGAAGACACCTCTTATTACTGATGTCTTCAAATCTTTTTCAGTACGAAGTGAATTTTTCACCCCGCTAGGAAAAAGATTGAGCGTTGTGACGTAATGAAATTCAAGTCTAACTGCATACTGCAGCATAAGTTTGTTCTACCATTATAATGGCGAAGAAAACGAGTGAAGGACGTAAACATATGTAGTTAATAATATAATACAAAAATGTGTGTAAAGCATGTGCCTTTAAAAGTATAAACCCTAAATAAACAATTTGTTAACAATAAACAAGTTACAAATTGGTTGGTTAACAAGAACGAGAGCGACTTAAATCAGGACAGAAATCAATTACCGAGTACGTCAAGTTTTCTTACTTGGTTCGTCAATAAAGGGAAAATGTTTCATAACTTAGCCTTACATAACTTGATAAGGGGAATCTTTTTCCAACAACTTTAAATATGAAGCGCACCCAACCCCGCTTTAATACGGTTTGTAAAAAAAAGAAAATGGGAAAACAAAAAGTTGTACGTAGTTCAAAATACATGAAAATCGTTCTAAGGCAACAATGAATTATTCAAAGTCTAAATAAGAAGAGATCAGTCTTGAGTTTCAAATATTCAGCAACCATTCGAGTTAGAAACAAACAGTGAAGTTTCTTTGTGATTCCTACTTCGTCTCAAACCAATTTCAAAATTATCGTAAGTGCTTTCGGTAACTTCTTGGGTGGCACTTAGAGGATCGATACAGTTAGGTTATATTTGAACTCTCCTGTAGTGCCTGGGCTTTGTAGTAGGTGTTTACTGTTCGCTCTCCAATTCAATCACGTCCTTGAACCTATTTATTTTACTTTGTGCAAACTTTGCTTTGACTCGAAAGCCAATTCTTTCGTAACTCCTATTCAAAGAGAAGGGTGTTCAAAAGTGTACTTAGGGATTTTACATAAGATTGGTTATAAATTCCTTTCGTATTGAGGAAATTGGCTTGTAAAACTGAACGCCAACTGATATCAATTATTGCATAGAGTCCGCAAACAGGAGCTAACTAAAACCTTAGCCCAAAAGATTCAAGGCTGTGACAAGCAATAAAATCGACCAGCTTTTAATATACAACGACAAAGTTTTTTACGACTACCGCAATTTTATTAGCACTTTCTGGACCCAAAACGAAGGACGGGACCATCTTTTTGTAGAAAAAAAAACAACTGATCTGATTTATTTTGAACATGATTGTATCAAAAACCCCAGATGTATGTAGAAGTGCTTGTGCCAACACAACTTTATATCATTATTGCCATTAACTTAATACTTCTGTTCCATACATCTCGCAAACTGGTAAGTAATGATAGACTCGGTGACGATTTATTACCCGTTTATCCTTGTTATTGTTCGCAATAATTTACTCTGAATATGCTATGTTATTGCCTCTCACATAATGTGTTTTGAAAAAGATTCCATTCATACGATTTATTTGTTATATGCCAACATTTGGTCGCAAATAAAGCTATAAAAGGTCTCAATACCAAATAATAATAGGTAAGTTAGTTGTCGAATTTCTATAACAATATCCACATACAAATAATGTAGAATCTGAACACTATCAAAGAAAACATGATCAAAGTTCCAGAACGATCAAGGAATGTAACCCGAGCCAGGCAATTTCACAGCGGGTTTATTGGCAGCAAATATAGAACGCGGCAAATCTGCTGATCTCTTTGTACAAATATTGGTTACTCTCCGTAACCCTTTAAATTGTTTCAGGGTTCATGACCAGATTCGATGGCACCCTGTTCTCTAAGTAGGGTTGTCTTTTATGGCCCTCGATGTGGAGTTAAAAGCTTTGACCTTGACTTTTGGGACATAATTTGTTTTCGCTGACTCAGGTGACGCACCTAACACAGCTTTTAATGGAGGAAATGAATAGTTAGAATAAAAATAGCTTCAATAAGCACACGCCAGTAAAATACGTTACAGAAAAAAAATCTAGTAACTAAAGTATTGTATAAAATTCTAATTAGGTTAATTACAACTTTGCATAAAGCAAGCTATATTATTTTATTCACTACATTATTCATGATTCATGAACATGGATCATGTTGCAAAAGGACCTCTTTGTTAAGTTAATAGAGCAAGATAATCTCTTTTCTAAGGTTTCCCTAACATCACATTTTGTAAAATTAATATTATCTAGAACGACAAGAAAATAAAACCTTAAGAAGTAGTTAATTAAGTTTATTTAAGAATACTAAGTTTAAGAGACAGGTGGGTCTATGGATTTTATGAAGATACAAAGAAACACAAGTAGGCTCATCGATCGTCGTTGTCGTTAGCAACGGTTGCTAAGTGAAAATGAATTAACATTTGCTTCAAGTAAAATTTCACTAACTTGGTTTACTTTTCTTAGAAAAGAGCAAAACAAGTACGTCAGTTCACAAGTACCAATTGAAAAAATATACAGAAAATTCTCCTAATAATTATGATAATATAATTTATGCTCTAGCAACCCCTACTCTAGACTACCATAATTTATTTAAGACGCAAACATTCATCAACATGGCGTCCCCAAACTACACAGATATTGCCAAAGCGTTAGCTTAGAGACATATCAATTCGGGACCCATCTTAATTAGCCAATCACAGTGATTGAGAGCCGTGTACCGTGGTCGTCGGTAATGGCCGCTACATCACCTAAGTACAGCATTACATAATATCACGTCACTTGTTGCGCAGGGTCGGGAAGTAGGACGCGGGAACTGGGCCAGTGACCCACGACTCGGCCATCCCGGGCTACAGGTGGACCTGTAAATACAGATGCATCCCCATCCTAAAGGGCAATGCACCCCGATCTGATGCTCGGGCGTGGCCGTACGTCGATGATGGTTCGGTAATCTGAAATGTTAAACTAGTGTGTTGCTGTGTGAATTTCTCTTTGTTTGGTATGTTAAAATACCTTTTTCTTAGAAAATATTATTGATATTAGGTACCCATTTCTGTAGTACGGTATCTACAGTAATTTAAACGCACAGACAAAGACATTTGCCCACTTTCATTCAGAAAATGAATAAACTAAATTGTATACCTTTCTTTGTACGACGCTAAAACAATTTCACATTTGCAATTTCATTTCGTTTGACTTCTAAACAAGAAGAAAGCTCGCTTTAGTCATTACCATAATACAATAACATTACCCGGGAGATACAAAACAAGATTATCTAAATACGAAGTTAGGTTCAGGAGCA